CCCCCCGTCCCTCTGCCGCTGCGCTGCTGTGTCTCTTGTGGGCAGCTGCGGAAAGCTATTCTCATCCCCCCCTCCCCAATTTGTCCACCCAGAGAGCGCCCCCGCGGGCTTCAGCTTGCCCACAGACCCCGCGGGGCTCTCGGTGCCGCTCAGCTGCTCCCTGGCTTCTACTTGCAGTGCGGCCACACACCTCTCCGGGGCTTGTAGCACCAGGGATAGGACGGGCAGCGAGCGGTTCCCAAACTCAGACAGGCATATTGTGCAGTGTCCATGTAAAATGGTTCGCCCTGAAGTACCACTAGCACGTTTTTCAGTTCAACCTGCAGCACCACCTGGAAAATTTTGTCATGTCAAGTAATTATAATAAATCTGTCAAAGTGCACCACTGACAGGTTGCCTGCGTACCCCTGGTGATACCTTAACCACAGATTGGGAACCGCTGGGATGGGGCTTTCCTCACAGCTGGGGCCCCTCTGCCTTTCCTCTTGGGGGTTTGGTAGTTTGGTGCAGAAACCCTTTCCTAGCGGCACAGATGTCTGAAAGGAGTCTTTTGGTGTGTGGGGGCGCTTGGCCAGCCCCAAAGATACATGGGTGTTGTCCCGCCATGGCCAAGCATGTGGTTGTCCCCGGGTCATCCCGTAGATTTTTCTTGTGAGGTTTTTAAAACAACACGTTTAATTTTTGGCAGGATAAATTAGCAGGCCCTTATAACCCAACAGGGTTTAATTTTAAGGCCAGGGATGCCAGAAAGCTTTGACTCTAAACATTGTGCCTTTGGTGTAGTGAAAGGGTTCAAATGTTCATTGGCTTGTAATTCCTCTTGCGTGCCTCCAAAATGGGGAGGGGGAAGGGAGGGTTTGGTGGTGTGAAGGATGAGATGACTTCAGTAATATTGTTTCACTAAAGAATTGGTATCTGTTTGGGGCTGAACCTTAATGTACCTTGACAGTAGTGTCTAGTAAGATGGGATTTTATTGCCCCTTTTCAGTTCAGTTCCTAGAAATAGAGATGTATTCTAGAGGTGTTTTGAGGTCCAGACCTTGTAGTCAGTCCTTGTTGTAAGCAGGGATTATTTCCACCAATAAGTCTGTAGAACTGAGCTCTGTATCTGTTTGCAAATGGCTCAGTGCTTTGCTGTGCTTTATCTTTCACATTTTGAAAGGAATATGCTGTACATCAACTTGGAGGAAACCATTGCATTTACTGTTACATGCTTACTGTTTAGTTAAACGTCAAACTCATTTAAGTGGATATTGTGCATTTATCAGAAATGGGTCTGGCATGAGATGCAATTAAGACTTTGGTCTGAATGCGCTTTGAAGGTTACACTACTGTATTTTGTATGTAAAAACTGACTTGGACAACTGATATATAATGAGGTAAGAGAAGGTTAGGTAGGACTAAAATTTTTGTTCTTGGGAAGCTTGTACAAAGAAAAATTATTTTGACGCTTAGCAATTATAATACTTTTTTATCAGTTAGATCTTGATATGCTTTACTTAGGAAGTTGGCTTTATCATCTATGAAATTCTTTGAAATCTATGAAATCTCATTTTATAGTTGGGGAAACCTAAGGTATAAGCAGAATGACCTGCCCAAAGTTACCCAGCAGTCCAGTGGCAGAACAGGAAGAAAAACCTAGGTTTTATGAAAGCTCTGGGCACTGATCTGGGACAGCATCCACACTGCTGCGTAAGAATGGTATTACTGACAGGGAAAGGGGGGGTGAGTCTTGTCTCAACACTTGAAAAGCAGTTGTTGTTCTATACAAAATTTTCTAAACTTTACAGGTCAGCACAATTAGGAGTTTGAGCAAGAGGAATTAAAGACTGAGAGGAGTTTCAGCAACATAGCTAGAGGTTTAGTATGAGACAAAAGTGTAGGCATCTAAAGTAATTGCCTGTCTGTGAGGAAATGGGTACTTTGACCCATAAGAAACAAGTGGTGATATTAACAATTATACTTGCATTGGGATTTAGTACTATTTTCTCTCAGTGAAACAAAATTTATCCCAATCTTTGGAATCATTTAGTGAAGATAAATATGGAAATGTGTACATACAATAGCTTTTAAATGCTGAGTAAAAGATTTAGTGATTTGGAGTGCCATACCCTGATATGAAGTAAAAACACAAACTGGCTTAGCTTTATGAATGAAAGTTTTGCTATAGTGAATATCATGGCATACATGACTTGTACTCCTTGATACTTTTCAAGTATTTTTGTCCAGCAAAAGTGCACAAGAGTCACCGGAGTATCAGTTTTAGTAGACTTAAGTCTTTGGTTTGTTCAGTCAAAAATTACGAAAACAGGGAGAGGTTCTTAATTGCATAGGCCTGGTTATACAAAGAACACATGCTTCTATCAGGATGATGTCATGTACCACTTCAGGGCATAGTCTAGATTTTCTGAATTTTTTCTGGTATAGCTTCCAGTCCTGCTTGTTGGTTGATTTCGTCAGTTTCCATTAAGTTAGTAGGTGCCAACTTCTGTGCAAATTTGGGCCCCGTGCTGGGGAACAAGGCTGTAGTTTTTTCTCCCTTATTCGAGTTGTCTGGCACTGATATGTATTTTTGTCCCTTGGGTTCTCCACTTTCAGCCTTTTGAATTTAAGTCTACAAAAGAATGACGCTGATGCTGAGTGCTGGAGGTCCCAACCTTTAGGCAGCTTGCTATTGTAGTGCAATCCACAGTCCTGTATTAGATGCTTAGGCTCCCAGCATATGGGAGGAGTTGGGTGCCTCAGAATGGGAATTAGAAAAAAAACAGTCTGTTGAGTGGGAGCCATGTAAACTAGTAAATACATGCCAAGGACATTGGTATACAGTGTCTACCGGTTGCTAGGATCTTGCTTAATGGAATCAGTCAGAGAACATAATCAAAACCCCCAAAGCCTGGTACTGTGTGATTTTTTTTTTGGGGGGGGGGGGTTTTGTTTGTTTGGTTGTTTTTTTTCCCTCTGATGCTTATTAGCATCTCTCTCTCTCTCTAAAATCAGCCAACTTAATACTGGAGTCAAAATCTTTATCCATAATCTATGCTGAATAAGGTTTTCCCTCCCCCTCTGTCTGGCTATTAGTCTCAACGAGTAAAATACAACAAGCTTTGGAAACTGTGCAGTTTCTTGACAAGACTCTGCTTGGGTGTTTTTCTTTACTGTCACTTATAGAATTGCTGGCTATTAGAATCTAACGCACTTTGCTTAGTTTGATTTTTTTGGTAACTAGTGAATGCTGTATCTCAAATATCATCCCTCACTGGGGTTAAGTCTAATTCTGGGCTGTCTCCCTCCACGTGGGTTTCACAAATCTGAGTCTGCTCCTGAATTGGATGCACAAACATTTTTTTTTTTTCTTTTAAAAACAGGATTTAGGCCTGTCATTCAGAACACCACCAGAGGAGGTCCTGGCCTTCTTTACACAATAGCTCCATGGTTAAAACAATCAGCATGAAGTCAGAGACTTAGGTTCAAGCCCCTCCTGCCTGAGGGTTTTCATACTCAAAGCTCTTGCCTCCCAGGAGAAAGTTTTCAGCCCCAGATTATAGACTGGGTGAGGGCCTGTCTGTCCTTTCTTTTAAAGCTGTTCCATGCAAACTGGAGCAGCTTGAAAGATTCAGAAAATGTGAGCATGTCTCTGGCCTAGTAGTTACAGCATTTGTCTGGGGAGGTAAATGTGGGTTTTGGTTTCTGTTCCATTGACAGTTTACACACTTTACTACTAACAGTTGGGAGCAAGCACTGGAATCCAGGTCTCTACCCAACAGGCAATAAAATCCTGTTTTTTTTTCTCTCTCTCTTTTTCTCTGGCCCAATGCATCTTTAATTATTTGATGAAATGTGGAATGACTTTAATAGGAGAGATTAAGAGCCTCCCCCACCACAGAAGAGCTTGATGGTGAAGTTGCTCTTCTGGGAGCTGAGCGATTTTTTTTTTTTTTTTTTAGGTTCCAGTCCTAAGGCGGAGGAGGAAATTGAATTTAGGCCTCTTGCATCCACTGAACTACTGGATAAAAGGAGGCACCACCTGTCTTTGTGTAGAATCTAATCTGCTAGACATACTCAGAGACTGCCTACCAGATTGTGCCCTGAAGCTTAATAGGCAGAAGAATGCCTGATTTTGGATCCTGACATG